CCATAGGTCTTTCAATCATACAAATTATAGGCCAATACACTCTATGCATTAAAGATATAATTATGAAATGTTTCAACTGGGAATTGTTTCTACAAGTAGATTCTTCCGGTCTAAATTCATGAATATGCATTAAAACTATACACACGTACCTACATATAAACGTTTGATAAAATACAATTWAGACGTGGAATACATTTGATATTATGTTATTAAAAGAAATATATAATTATTGTTTATTGAAAATATAGTTTCAAATATTTATGGTATCGACAAATACTCAAAAACGTAAACAATTATTCTAGCATCAAAATTATTTATAAACAGTAATTTTTGTACAAGCAGTTTATGAAAAAAATATAAGAATTCAGATTCATTGTAATTTCAATTTTAATTACCATAACGCATTTCAATGTATTATATAATAATATTTTATCTTTTTATTCTTTATTTTCTATTCGTKACTTTATTTTTCTTTGAATAATTTTCACTGTACCGACATAATCTTTGCATTGGACAGGGGTGGTTTTACTCTATACGGCCATTAACATCGATGAGTGGTTGCCCGAATCCGAAAAACCTAATCTTAAGGCGCTGGTGATTACGTTTTGTATCATTAGCTTCTTGGCCGCAACACAAGATATAGTCGTCGATGGATGGGCACTGACATTGCTTAAGAAGTAAGTTGTGACTTTGCGTGAACCAAAATTCAAAGTAATGACTGAAGGCTGATAACATACATTGGTCAATTACTTAAAACTTATTTTCCCAGGAACAATGTGGGTCATGCGTCCACGTGCAACGGAACTGGTGTAGCATTGGGTGTGCTTATAGCTACTATTTGTCCCGTTTTACTAACATCAGAAGAGTTTTGTAATAAATACTTACGGATAACGCTCGGCACAGGGGGTATAATCACTTTAAAAGGTACGCAGTTAACGGTAAAAATGTTCTATAATTAGTATTTATAATCAATGTGCAGGGTGTCCCGTGAGGATTTACCCATTGTGATATCTCACGAAACAATGGAGATATTAAAATTCTGGTTTTATAATAAGATTCAGAGGGATAAGAACTACAATATTATTTCAGTTTTTAATTTATTTTAATATTTTTGTAAAAAATGTAAAAATATATTTTTTATTTAATTATTTCCAAAAATATTAAAGATGGCCATTTTGTAGGGTTTATTTTCCTGAAAATATTGACGTTTCAAAATTTTATTTTCATAAATTTCCTGATTTTTAATATTTTTTCTAGTTTTGAAGAAATAAAATATGATTGTTATTTATAACTACTATTAGGAGCATGGAAGGTATTCGGCCGACCTTATGGGAATGCGCGCGGCGCGGCGGGTCATATTATGTTTGATAACATTACAGTGTTAAATAATTCGCAATTTTTCTCAAAACTAAAAAAAATATTAAAAATCAGGAAATTAATGAAAATAAAATTTTGAAACGTCAATATCTTCATAAAAATAAACTCTACAAAATGRCTATAATGAAAATAATTAAATAAAAAAATATTAAAATATGATATAATTGTAGTTCTTATCCCTGTGAGTCTTATCACAAGACCAGAATTTCGATATCAGCATTATTTCGGGAGATATTGCAATGGGTAAATCCTCACGGGACACCCTGTATATCATGTGCAGAGTTGCGTCATCATAAAGTATTCGAAAACTGGTATGCAGATACTTTTRTTATAATCATTTAAGCGTAATACGTATTTACATTTTTAATAATTTTATTCAATTTAAAGGATTGTTTACCTTTTTATTTTTGTAGCGTGTTAATTAATCAATAGCCATGTTTAATATAATATGTATTAAATTAAGTAGGTATTCAAATTTAATATTCAATAGGATTATCAGTATTTTAAAATATCCGCTTATAGAGTTTTTTTTAAACATTTTTATACTTTATTTACTTATATTTTATAATTTAAAGGTTTTATGTATTTTTGGAGCATTATTATTGTGTTAATAACAACATCTATTGGTATATTCAAAAGAGAAAAGGATTACAGATTAGAAGAGGGGCATGTAAAAATTAATATTTTTAAAAGTTATAAACTTCTTTGGAAAATTCTAAAGCTGCCTAATATTCGTGTATTGGCAATAGCATTGTTAACAATGAAGGTGAATATTGTGTCGATTTTAATTCATCATAATATTGAACAATCTCAATCAATTTTAATCAATAAATAATTACTATTTTTACCTCTTTAGATTGGATTTTCAGCCACTGATTCTGTGTCAAAATTAAAACTAATTGATGCCGGTGTACCAAAAGATGACATAATGATAATAACTATATCGATGTATATAGTTAAGTTTATTATACCTCTCGTTGTATCAAAATATACTTCAGGTACAAAACCGATGAGTGCATACCTGAATTTGATGCCAATCAGGTATAAAAATAAAAATTATATTTGTAAACAAATTATGCAATAATCATACATATTATTTATAAACTTAACATATTTTCTAAAATTTGTCCCTCCAAAAAAATTACTTGATTACTTTATTATATGAGTATAAAATCAACTATTTAGAGTTATGAAAAATGATAACACGTCATAAAATATTTAACACGTCATTATTTGCTAAAAATACTAACCAGTTCTTTGTATCCTGTGTGAATTTTTTTAAAGTTATACCCGTAATTTAAGTTAAAACGGTGATGATGTTTTGATTTGTCATGTTTCAGATTACTTTGGAGCATTGCTTATGTTGTATTAATTTATTACACACCAATTTTGATAAAAAATAATAAAGTTGTAAATGTACCACTATATTATTATTTGATTTTAGTTTTTATTAGTATAATACATGAGGTTGGTTGATACATTTTWAAATTAATATTCACAAATATTTAAATTTTTTACATCATTGCCACTATTGTCAACACAGAAAAGTGTTGAAAATTAAAAATTCTAGTTAATCAAATTTTACTACAATATCTTAAGTACTTAAATTTAAATTTAAAAATGTCCGTAAACAATATAACACAAAAACGTGAAATAATAATTGAGCCGTGATTATATAATTAATATTAATATTGTTTTGATTTTAGATTTTTACATACAGTATGCATATTTTCACATTAGGATTTTTCTCTCGGATAAGTGACTCACGCTTTGGTGGTACATACATGACGATGTTGTCGACGATTGCCACTTTTGGATGGGTTATGTCAAATTCTTTGGCATTGCGAATGATTGACGTTCTCACTTTCAGTAAATGTTCAAATAACGATGAAAATAATTGTTCTACGGTAGATTTAAAAAACGTAAGAAATACAAATATACAATATTATGGTTGTCCAAGGAGCTAATAATCAAATAATTATTAATTACTTCTTAAATCATATAATATGGATGAAGCTATGAGTATAATTGCTATAGCACCGAATTGTGTCCAACATCATCCCCATCACCTTCAATGTTTCACGGTACACGACACAAATGCGCATGCCCAGAACTCCTGGACATGCGTATTTGTGTCGAGTATAGTTCTGGGCATGCGTATTTGTGTCTAGTATAGTTTTGGGCATGCGTATTGGTTTCKTGTACAGTTCTGGGCAAGCGCATTTGTGTCGGTGGTGGTGKGGATGATGTTGGACACAATTCTGTATACGCATAGCTCCATTAGACAAGGCCRGTTTCCGCTAAAAGTGTAKGTATCTTTCCCCTTTCCGCCGATTCACTTTTGCGCCAAACCATAAATTGGTCAATTCTCTTTTCCGCCAAAAGTATACCTTTACTTTTTTCGCCAATTCACTTTTTCATCAAATTTAAAAAATTACCAATAATATTTATGTTACATATTTGTATTGAATGTTATAATAATTATCTTTCAAATTTAAAAAATAAAATAAAAATATTACATAATAATATTTATTTTTCATATTTTTATTGAATTTTATATAATATACCAAATATGCATTAAAAAGTTTCACAAAATTTGTGAAATTGAAATTATTTTTCTTTTGTAAGACATAAAACATCTATAATTATAAAGTACCGTAATTTCTGACCAACGATAAATTTAACTCTGATAATCTTAATTATTTTTCCAACGCTATCGATTGTGTTGCTAATCTTATTTGTTACAACATTACAATCATTAGGTATATTYAATAAAAATATGAAACATAATTATATGTATTTTTTTTTCATTTGATGGAAAAGGTAAAGGTTCACTTTTGGCGGAAACGGGTAACTTCCGCTTCATCCATAGTATATGATCTAAGAGTTAATTCAATTATATATTTTAAGTATTAACTGTGATAAGGGACGTTATAAAAATACATTTTTTTTCTCTTTCCGTACAATGTGCTTGAGAGTTTTCGACATATCTCAAAAACATTCTCTGAAGGCACCAATCAGAGTACCTAATACTTTTATTTTATTAAACATAAATTGTCGTGACTCAACAATGATGCAAAGACGTTTTTTTTTAAGTGAGCAGGGACACGCATTAATATTTTAAACTAAATTATTGCTAATATATTTTAATATATCATGAAAAATATTGCTATGCCTCATGCCTGATTTTAAGATTTTAAAAAGCCATTATTATGGCAAAAAAATCTTTTCTAGTTACTATACATCCAGATGCCTTTGCGCCACTCATCGCTTTTTTATTATCTCATTGGACTTAAAATACTAATTAACTATTACAAGTATATCGAATTTGTCTTATTTAAAATGTGTGTTACCATTAGATGTGCAAAATAAATGGAGGTGATTGTAGTATTACTATAAATGGTTACTATGTAGAAGTTGCACTGTGCATGACAATTGGATTCGTTTGGTATTTTTCGTACAAAAAAACCATACAAGATCTTCAAAAAAAGAGTCTATCCAACTGGAGAGTGAACTTCAATCGACATGGTCGAGAAAAAAACGAAGAGTCTTAGTATACTATATAAGAGTGATAAAATATTGTACGTAAACGACTTATTAAAAATTTTAAAATTTATTTACATTGTACCAATGAATTATTATAAATAGACGATAT